CTCAAGTTTCATTTGACGTAATTAAGTCCATTTCATCATGGATAACATTCTTCCAAAAGGAGGAGTCTCTTGAAACCATTGTTGTTATTTTATCTGAAGTTGTTGGGGGTTTACCCCAAGACATTGGATTAATTTTCTTTGTGTGCAAGTTATTCTGATTATATGCTTTGTCTTTGATTTATAATTCCTCCATATACAGTTGTTACTCTGGCCAATTTTTGTGAAGACTTAATGCATCTGAATCTTAGTATTTTTGAGAGGTTTAGTATCTTTGATTTCTTGGTTTCAATGCAAAGGATGGAAGTTCTACATTGACTTCTTTATGTCAAGTGTTGTCTTCTTAATTGTTAGATGGTTCTTTTCCTTAGATTTTACTTTATGCTTTAGTATAGTCCCTTGATGTCCTCCTATCTTCTTTAATTTCAAAATCTTCTCCCTCCTTTTCAAAACTCTTCTTTTTGTCTAACTTGAACCGCTTTCATAATAAACGTGGACTTATGTCCATGCATTTTTAAGAATCTTTTCTTAATCAAACTTTAACCAACTTAATCATACTTTGACATTTTTTATAATAAGACTAAAAGTAAATCAACCTCATTCAAACCATTTTACCACTTTAATTTTTTATTTTAAAACTTTTTTTTCAAAAGATTAGACTCTTATCGATTTTTGTAGTGATGTGGGCTACAATACTTCTATGATATATAGTAAATTGAGATATTTTCCACTTGGATGTTGACTGAGGCTTTGTGGATTTTAAAATCCAAGTTATATCCTCCACTTTGAGATAATTCAATTTCTCCTTTCTCATAATTGTGGGTAGTAAGTATGTTTTCCACTCGGATGTGACGATGACGTCTCTTCTCTTGAAATTAACCAACACACATATGTTTTAAAATTTTTGAGGTGAACTATGATGACCCTGATCCCCTAATGCACGCAAGGTTGTATGTAGGCACAAAAGTCCGCAACCGCGGCGGGTGAATAAATTGTAAAAAGATACTTCTTTTCTCATCTCCATTATCTATTTTTTTAAACACCATTTATACCCAAAATACACAAATTTTCAAAGAGGTTCCTGCGGAGTACCGTAGATGTTTATGATGCTAATACCTTCCCTTTCCATAACATCCCCCGTACCTACATTCTCTCCCCTTTAATTTGGGTTTATTCGCTCTTTTTCCTTTCCTCTAGAAACAATAAAGTGTGGTGGAAATATTTTTTTGATTTGTGCAGTTAAGTCATACCAATGGCTTAGTCTCAACATTTCTACCGCTACAACATCCAATGGGCCATGATCCTTTTGGTAAGTCAATTAGTTCTCAAGTGTCATATGACGTAATTGAATCCATTTCATCTTGGATAACATCCTTCCAAAAAGAGGAGTCTCTTGAAACCACTACTTACTTGTAAGTTTTAGAATCATCTTGTACTTGAAGAATAATAGGAATGTCTCGAACATAATTCTCACAGTTTCCTTAAACTAGTTAAAGGAAATAAGGTGAGAATCAATTTTTTTTTGTCTTAGATCCTTTGTTTTCTGGAATATATTGCTTATCCTAGGCTTGGGTTATGATTCTATGATCCGAGAAGAACTTTTGGGTTGCATATCGATACTCCAAGAAAAATATTCCTCTCGAGATTCTTTGTTTGCGGGTTAACATGCCATTAAATTCACACAAATCTAAATGTACAAGATCAAGGAGATTTGTATTTCTTTTATCACTTTATAAAGGTTTCTTAATCATCTTTAATTTAACACGTAATTCATATTTTTCGAAATCATTCATATTACATGAGATCAAACGAGATATAATTATTCTCGTCGTATAACTAATATCGGTATGTACTAATCCGTTATACTATAAAGAAACAAAGTCAAACATATGAGCAGAATTAGAAATTTTATTAATAATATTATCAGTAGTATAAAGATTGATCATTCCCTCAACAGAATATCTTTTTCCTATAAATACACCATTATGGGTCAATATAAGTTTTCCCAATTCATATACAAATCTAATGTCCGGTTTTCCCAACAAATTCCGACCAACAAGATTCATATTCTTATCGGGGACATGAAGCACATTGACAGGGGTGACTTTCTTTTTGGACGTGAAATTGAGTTCGACATATTCGGTTTCAAGAACTTTAGATCGTACTGCATTTCTCATATTTACTTATTGTCTATCATTTTCCTCATAATAGGATTTAAAAGTAGACTTGTTATAAGAGACATGAACTGTAGCACATGTATCATACCACCAACCTTGCACTTTTCCTTTGATTTCCATTATTTTTCTCATCGTAGCGATTATATGATCATTTGCATGAACTGCATTGATCTCATTTTTTGACTTGTTGTGCATGCCATCACGAGCACAACATCCAGGTTTTACACATACGAAACAACCGTTTTTCAGACTTCTTAGAAAACCGGAATTATTGAGCTTGTTATGTTCCTTTTTAAGTCTAAGATGACTCTTCATTACACCATGTTACTTTTTCCTTTGGCGGTTACAACATTGGCTTTGGAAAGATTAATAGACTCTTATTTCTCCCTTTCCTTTGATTCATCCTCGATTCGAGGATGTTTTTGGATTTTCTCCAAAGAGAACTCTTCAGAACTGGAAACAATAACTCAGAGAACGATTCTCTTAAGGTGATTACATTAGAATTTTTGTTTTTAAGTTCTTTACATCTTTCAAGACTCTATGGGACGAAATTCAGGCTTACTTACCTATACTTCTTTGTGCTTTTCCAGAAGATTCATATTCATATCGGGGACATGAAGCACATTGACAAGGGTGACTTTCTTTCTGAATATGAAGTTGAGTTCGACATATTTGGTTCCAACAACTTTAGATTGTACTTCATTTCCCATATGTACTTTTTGTCCATCATTTTCCTCAGAATAGGTTTTTAAAGCAGACTTGTCATAAAAGACATGCAGTGTAGCACATGTATCATACCACCAACCTTGAACTTTGCCTTTGATTGCCATTATTTTGCTCACCGTAGCGATTATATAATCATTGGCATGAACTGCATTCATCTTATTTTTTGACTTGTTGTGCATGCCATCTTGAGCACAACGTCTAGGTTTTCCACATACAAAACAACCGCTTTTCAGACCTTTTAGACAACCAGATTTATTGAGCTTGTCATGTTTCTTTTTTCCTTCAGCGGTCACAACATTGGCTTTGGAAAAATCAACAGACTCTTATTTCTCGCTTTCCTTTGATTCCTCCTCGATTCGAAGATGTTTCTGGATTTTCTCCAAAGAGAAGTCTTCAGAACTATGAAACAATAACTCAAAGAACGATTCTCTTAAGGTGATTACATTAGAATTTTTGTTCCGGAGTTCTTTACATCTTTCAAGACTCTATGGGACGAAATTTAGGCTTACTTACCTATACCTCTTTGTGCATTTCCACATCGTTGTGTCTGTGCTACGGGTGTCAGCAATGCTATACATCATCATGATATTGCATGTTCCATTTGATTTTTCACAGGTCTCAATGATCAATTTGATATAGTGTGTGCTCAGGTTTTCTTGATGAGCCATCTTTCACTTGTCAATTGTATATTTTTTTTTGTGCTTTAACAAGCTGGCTCGACCAAATGACAATGCAAGGATGGCATTCGCCTTGGGCCTCCCCTTTATTGAATATATAGTAGGCCTCAAAATAAGTAAATCATTAAATAAATAAAAGAAAAAGCAATTCATTAAAATAATATATGTAGTAGCCCAACGGTAAAGTATTTTTTTTAAAGACTTGGAAGTTAATGGTTGGACTCCCACTGCTCTCAAGTTTAAGTCTCACTTTTCTTTGTCTTTAATCAATTTTAATTCATATTAGCCATTTTTATTCAAAGGCATTGGCAATTGATGCAATAATCTATATGACATTTTATATGGTACGATCAATCACTTATTTTAAAATTTTATAAAAATATTTTTTAATATATAAAATTAATGTAATATATATATAGTTATGTTTTATTTTTATTTGAGCAATTTTAATTTGAATATCTTAAATATTTGTATTTGATTAAAAAAAACATTGACTAAGATCTATTATTGTTTTCACACGAATAAAAAAAAAATTTAATGAATAATTTTAAATTAAATTTCCAAAATAATACTCTATTTTTAATGTAGCCTATAAACTATATTAATATAATAAATAATTATTTTTATTTTTTAGTTCATGAAGAACATAAAACTATCACATTTAAATTCACACGATTAAGATGATAAAAATTAACACGATAAATGTTTAATAATAATTAAGGATTAAATTAATAAAATTAATATATTTAAAATATTATTAATTAATTTAATATTATTTAGAAGCTTCATTGAAGAAATTAATAATTTAAGAATTTCATTGATGGTTTCCTTTATTTTAAAATTTTAAATTATTTAAAATTTTATAAATATATATTATTATTTTTCAAAAAAAATATTGTAGATTTTACATTAGGCTTCCAAATTTACTGAGCCACTTATGCCAACAAGAAATATAACATAATAGTAAATTCAAGTATGACATAAGTCTCCATTCTTGTGTAGTTCTTAACCATACAAATAATATAACAAAAATAATACTATAATTATAACCTCATTTAATTTCGTCACACTCGATAAATTAAATGGAGGAATGTCTGTAATAAATATATATATATATATATATATATATATATATATATATATATGATTACATAATGCAACTTGTAAAGAAATATATATGGATTAGTGGTTGGAGGTGTTATGTAGAACAATAATTCAAAAAGGAGTAGCGGTAATTACCCTTTACTTCCATTTTGGTGTAATTCATACTATATTTCTTAACCATTACAATTAATACAACAAAAATATTACTATCATTATAACCTCATTCAATTTCACCACACGTGATAAAAAGAATGAGGCAATGTATGTATTATACTGCATGTCTTTATCTGATTACATAATACAACTTGTAAAGGAATGTTTAAGGGTTAGAGATTGAAAGAGTCTTGGAGAAAAATGGGAAGAAGGAGAAAAAGGAAGGGGGTGAATTAGGAGTATCGGAAACTAGAGCAGGAGCTGGAGCGGACACTGGTGGAACATCAATAGTTAGATCAACCGAAGGAAAGGGAAATGACATGATATGCTTAGGAAGAGATTGGATGAAATTGTCCAATGGTGGAAGACTTCCTTTGGGAAATGATGACATTACATAAAAATCTGGTAAATATGCTGGAATGGTAGGATGTGGAAGTGCGGTTGTTTGAAGAAGCTGACGAGCTTCGATGTTCATGCTTGTCATTGTCACAACAAAAAGTAAAGCAAAGATGAAGGATTTGGAGAAAGCCATTGATGTTGATAATTTGATGAGTTTTTTTTGTTTATTTTTACCACCAGTATCCGATCCAGTGGACCGCCTAATATGGATCGGGATGAGTTTTATTGAGAGAAATTGGTTTGGGATTTGACGAGAAGGAAAAGGATTATTGATGGTCTTATATAGAGTGAGAGGGATTAGTTTAACTTTCCATATTTTACTTTGCTAAAATCATTTTGTGGTTAGATTCGTTGGCTACTTATAGGAATTTCTATTTTTAATTACGGCCTTCAATGCATTCTTAACTATGAAAGTTGAGTTTTTGTATAACTATTTGACCTATTAATCAACTAATGCATTTTAACCAACAAAATGAATGCACCCAAACATAACTTGTTTATCCGCAAAAAATAATAGATAATTTCCTGTAATAGAAATTGATATTAATAATAAAAATAATTCTATTTTAAATAATTTAGTTAAAATTTGTTTGATAATAGCTTTATTTCATCAAATTTGTTCAATGAAATATTAAGTGAGTTCAAGTGAAGTAATTTCATCATTTTTTAGTTTTTCATGTATTAATTCTAACCAAATTAAACATGATATCTACTTCTTTAGATATTTTATTTCTTAATATAATTTTAGCATTCTCATTATACGTAAAGATATGCTCTTAGGTATAGGAGTAATAAAGATTAAAAAAAGAATGTTGGGTAAACAAGAATTGAAAATCAAATCTCATAAAGTCTACATATACAACTTTAGAAGACATAACATAGTTATGTATGGGTCTTTAGAATATTTATTAAAGGTCGGTGATATTTAGTGTTAGGAAGACAAAACTTTCGAAAATAGTTATATAAAATTTTGTTGATTGTCATAACATATTTTTTCATATTGTACTTGAATCAACTTTGAGGATTGTGTGTCTTAGATTAAAACATTTGTTCCTTAGTCCAACAAGTGGTGAAACCTCATATAAGTACATATATGCATATTTCTCTCCTACGATACGCTATAATATATGTTAGTCATAATGTCCATTTTTCATCCCGTGAAAAATGGACATTATGCCTTACCAGAAAAAGTGATAACTTAATCAATAGGAAATAAGATAATCATTATGAATAGAAGTAGTTAGGAGAAAATCCTGAGCATGTGGTGTATGCAAACACTTGAGAATAGATTTTACTAAAAGGTCAATGGCCAAAATATGTAGGGAGATCCAAAGCTGCTAAATTCAAAATATGGAATCATACCACTAAGACCATCCAAAGATATCTCAAAATCTAAGTCCATGTCAATATTCCATCGTCTCTTATTATATGTTCTTGAAACACCCAAGATTGAACCTTGGAAGCAACTAAAGAGTACGAGGTATTTTATCTTTATGTCATTTTATCCTTGCTCATTTGAAGTTTGGTATTCTTGAAAGGTTTAGTATCTTTGCTTGCTTGGTTTCAAATCAAAGGATGGTAATTTTACATTGATTTGTTTATGTCAAGTGTTGGATTCTTGTTAATTATATGGTTCTTTTACTTAGTTTTTACTTTATGATTTAGAATAGTCCCTTAATATCCTTCTATCTTCTTTAATTTCAAAATCTTCTCCCTCCTTTTCAAAACTCTTCTTGTTTTCTAACTTGAACGACTTTCGTAATAAACTTGGACTTCGGTCCATGCATTTTTAAAAATCTTTTCTTAATCAAACTTTAACAAACTTAATCATACCTTGACTTTTTTTTGTGAGAAGACTAAAATTCAATTAACCTCATTCAAACCATTTTGCCATTTTGGATTTTTATTTTAAAAGTTTTTTTCAAAAGATTAGACTCTTGTCGATTCTTGTAGTGATGCGAGCTACTATACATCTATGATATGTAGTAAAGTGGGATATTTTCCACTTGGGTGTTGAGTGAGGCTTTGGGGACTTTAATATCCAACCTATATCCTCCATTTTGAGATGAAGCAAATTGTCCATTCTCATTATCGTGGTTAGTAAGTATGTTTTCCACTCGGATGTGACGATGATGCCTCTTCTCTTAAAATTAACCAACGCACATATGTTTTAAATTTTTTGAGGTGGACTACGAGTACCTTGATCCCCTATTGCACGGAAGGTGGTACATAGGCACTAAAGGTTTGCAACCGCGGAGGGTGAAAAAATGTAAAAAGATACTTCTTTTCTCATCTCCACCGTCTATTTTAGTATACACCATTTATAGCGAAAATACACATATTTTCAAAGAGGTTCATGCGGAGTACATAGATGTTTAGGGGGATAATACCTTCCCTTTGCCTAAACAACCCCCATACCTAGATTTTATCCCCCTCTTTTTGGGTTTATTCGCTCTTTTCCCATTTCCAATGGCTTAGTATTAACATTTCTACCGCTACATCATCTAATGGGCCTTGATCCTTTTGGTAAGTGTTAGCTCCAAAATTCGACACCCATACACATAGGCCTTATTAGCTAAAAATAGATTTAATAAATCTAAGAGATTGAAGAAGTCTAAATTAAAGACCCTTCGATTTGGAAACATAGTCTAATTTGAAGATACTTGGAATTGAGAGCCTTTGAAAAGGCCTATCGAAGTCGTCCTTGTTAAGGAGGAGAAAACACTTAGAGAATTCTCTAAGTTAGAAATGGTCTTCGACCCAGAGGCTTCGATCTTGTAATAGCCTTCGACCCAGAGGCTTCGATCTTGTAATAGCCTTCGACTTGGAAGCGTTCGTATCAACAACAATTTGATTTCGAATCTGAAGAAAAGAGGGAAAAGCAGTTCACCTGGCAGTTGAAGAAAGCAATGTGGCATGAAGTTGGAGATCGAAGAACATGAAAAGGACACTTGTACTAATCCTGGATCGAATTAAACATCTAGCATTTACTTTTTAATAGTATAAATATAGGAAGTTTATGTAGATTTCCGTATGTTTAACTAATTGTACAAGTCACTCAATACTATTCGAGTACCCGATGCGTGAGAAAGAATACTGAGAATGTACGTTTGAAACACAACATTTTATAATAATAGTCTTTTACATTCCTTTTTACATTCCTTTCCATTCTTTCTTACATCCTTTTATCTTACTTGCAATGTTTATTTTCCCTTGCATTTTACTTCCATTTTTTACCAGATTTCTACACTTAAACTCATCTCAAACCTCTACCTTTTCTCAGTCGAATGTGTTCTTTATTAAAATTAGCATTTTTATCAAAACAATAAAAATATTTAGCATATGTCCTAGGATCAAACTGATCGATTCTGCAAGTAACCAAAAAATTACCCTTTTTGGCAGATTAGCGGTTGTTTACTAATTTTCACGATAAACAAATTCGCACACCTTGTGGGACGTTGCTAATTTTTGTTTGTTTATATTAACATAAATGCTTTACATAATTTATTTTCTTTTACAAAGTGTTGTATGTTATTAAGGAGTGGTAAATTTACCACCAGCGAGTGTACAACTAGGAGAAGAAATAGTGAAATGGATAATCATCCAAATAATGGAGAAATACCTCCATCAATTGTTACGGAAACAGCGGTTATATCAACCGTTAGTGAAACTATCCCATCAACCGCTGGTTCGGCACCAATGTTGACAGTAGCACAAACGGGACCAATACTTTCGTACGTGTGTCCCAAAGGTCCATTAGGAACACCCATACCAAGGGTAAATCCAGGATCTCGACCTTATGTTCCCCCAGGATTTTTGACAGCCTGGATGGGTCGAGACCAGCCTTATGGCATGCCAACTACTGAAATGGCTAGTCTTATGAACGTTCCGTCCATATTTTCAAAACCTTTGGTGAGTGCGTCTTCGCCATTGCAGGGATCTGGAACTGGTATGACGAATTTGGGTAGTAACCAACTCTTAAGAGGCGCATCCCATGCAATACCAAGCCTCCCAAATGCTTATACGACAATTTTAAGGCAACAAATGGATGAAAGTAACCATGATATGGTATAGATATTGGCACAAACTTTGAGTACAATGTTGAACCCTCTAATACACAATACCACCCAGTTGAATCAGCAAATACTGATGAAGTGAGACAACAGGTTCGACACCATAATTATGGAACAAATAATAATCTGACAGCCATGATCGAAAGAATCATGATATAGAATGGAATGAACATTGGCTTTCATAGGCCAAACTTTACATCCCCATTGTTAGAGTATATCTTGCAAACAGATTTACCCATAGGTGGAAAGTTCCAAAGTTCACCAAATTTTCTGGGGATACAACAGAATCTACGGTCGAACATGTGGTGAGATATTTGATAGAAGTTGGGGAAATCTCAAATAAAGAGAGCATTGGGATTAAGTACTTCCCAAGTTCCCTTACTAAAAATGATTTTACATGGTTTACCACCCTCCTAGCCAATTCGATCCACAATTGGAATCAATTGAAGAGATTGTTCCATGAACAATTTTACATGGGACAGAACAAAATAAGTCTGAAAGAACTGGCTAGTGTGAAAAGGAGGTTCACTGAGCCAATAGATGAATATCTAAATAGATTTTGACTGCTCAAAGCCAGATGCTTTACACAAGTGCCTGAGCATGAGTTGGTCGAATTGGAAGCAGGGGGCCTAGATTATTCTATTAGGAAAAAATTAGATACCCAATACCTGAGGGATATGGCCCAATTAGACGATCGAGTTAGATAGGTAGAATGTCTTAAAGCTGAAAAAGCTAAAGCAAATAAGACTCAATGACGATCCAGAGACATCTAGTGATCCTATAGTTGTCCAAGAAAGCGAAATAGATTTAGCAGAATTAAAGGAATGGCCATCGTACTCTTGTAGATTCCTAATGCCCTCAAATGGGAAGAATCCTACTGAGTCTGAAAAGAACAGTGATGGACTCCCAAAGAAAACATATAGTTTCAACGTCACAAAATGTGATGAGATATTGACTTGTTAGTTAAAGATGGTCAAATGGTAGTGCCCCTAGGGGAAAAATGCCTCCTTTAGAACAATGAAAGAAAAGAGGTTTTTGTAAGTATCATAATCATTTGTGCCATAAAACTTCACAATCTTTTCTTTTTAGAGAT